TTATAAACCAGGATGTGGATTAACATGAGGTGTTGATCATTATAAACCAGGATGTGGATTAACATGAGGTGTTGATCATTATAAACCAGGATGTGGATTAACATGAGGTGTTGACCATTATAAAACATGATATGGATTTAAATAACTTGGGAAGTTAAAACTTGTGTATATTATAAATCATTGTATTTAGCTGCATTGTAGTTTTTAATTATCGGTATCATTTCAGTATAGAATATTTATGTGTAACCTTACTCTATATTATGCCTTTTTTTTTCTAGCTGGATGATTATAACTTACCAACTGTGAAAAGGAAACAAATTCAAGAGAAAAAAAAGCAAGACTACAAGGACTTTAAAGGGTTATTGGAAGGAAGTGAAGATAGTGAATCTGAGGATGACAATGTGCGATTTTTGCCAAAAGAGGAACGACCACTGAAATTTGGGTTTCCAGTGGAAAGTACTGATGAACATAATGAATTTGGTGATCAGGAAAATATGAAATTAAGGTAAGAAATGTGATATCCATATAGAAAAGCTTTTAATAACAGTCTTGAAAAATTATTAAGCACGATCTTTCTGTTTAATAGCACATAACCAAAAGTCAAATGAAATTTTATATTTTGATTACACTGTATCTTTAAAAGACCAATACTATTGTTATTAAGTCTTCTATCTTTGTTTCACCCAATAAAAATGGACTTAAGATGACATGAAAGACTTCCCTTACAAGAAAAAAGTAAAAAGATAAAGTTACACATATTAATAACATATTTTTGAAAAGTATTAGGTATGAAGTTTGTTAAATTTGTGTATCTTTCCAAGTTTGAAATGATTAAACTGTACTTAAGATTAAAACTTTTTTATTAAATCTTTTTTACAAGTTTTTGTACAAGTTATTCAGTTACCATATTGTTATGATTTTATTAACTTGCTTTTATTCATATTATAAGTACCAAAATCACACAACAAACATCAGTAGGACATAAACAAGTAAAATGTGATAATCCCAGGTATTAATGGTATCTTGATATCATGGTGATAGCAAAAATTATCAAATATCAAATTCTTTTATTGCATTGATTTACTGAAAATTGAGTAATTCATAATACTAAAATTTGAATTTGGCAATAGCTGAATTAAATTTTAGTAGTTTGCATCATGATGATAAAATTTTCGTTGCAGGGTACAGAATTTTCCAATCAATAGTAATCCCTAATTTTGGT